GAGAAGGTATTTGTTCGTCAAATAAGTTACTTATATCAGGATATAAAGTAGACATACGTTTACAAGATTTTTAAAATATGAGACAGAATTTAAGATAGAATGTACTTACAAGTAGAATATTGTTGTTGGTCGCATAGTCTATTATTCCACGGGTTCACCTCTACTTCCGATGGAACTACAATTGGGTTATGACTGGAACTGGATTTCGAACTGGATGTACTGGACCCCAATGTAATTAGTTGTAGTGGCGATTTTTCCACACTGACAGTTTTTTTTTGAATGATTCCTCGAAGGAAACAAGTCAATTCAAAAATTCCTCAGCTCTCCTTCTATCAGCAATCAGAGGAACTCTGCTACTAATATCCCACGTTCTGACACCAAATTTTGTTATGGAATACTATGCGTTTATTTCTTCTCCGGACTAACTCTTTGTTTTGGAATTAAACAGAATATATTGACATGTATAAATTTATTATATTAGAGGATGAAAATTACACTGCCTGTTATTTCTTAAAACTATGAATTTATAAGTTCTGTTATCTACAATTATTTAACGATGTTTCTGGATGGATTTGAGTACAAGAGATTGGACTCAAATATTAATATTAAAATAGCAAATACGGATAGCTTATCGAACAAAGAAATAAGAGAAATAAATTATTATTATTCCATAGATACGAAGTATTAGGCGAATAAACTAGCGAAACTTATTTATTCTAAATAGGAAAATATTTATGAAGAGTATTGATTCTGATTTCTAACAGCAAATAATTATTAGTGATTATACATGAGAACTTTTCATAATTGTAAATAACATATACCAGGTGACTAAAAACTATATAGAAATACATAGATACTTTAATTATCTTACATGTGAGTAGGTAGGTACATTACAGTATATTATTAGACTATTCCAACATGTGTTATGTGTTACACTATTGTTAAAAAGATAGTGTGATGCTAAAGTATTTAACAGATATCCTGAATGGCAACGTAAGGCTTCCAATAGAGGTTGTTGCTGATCCTCAGACGATGTCTGGTAGATTCTAGATAGCAATTGAAAAGAAGACAAACATAAAAAGAACAAAGAAAACAAACATAAAATACATAACAGCATTATAAAAAGCATTGTTACATATACTGGTTAAGGCCCTTTATGTTATCAATTAACATTTGGTACCTGGAAATTAAATGGAAGATGCATGTATGATGTTGAGTTATTAATTGACAAAGACAAACTTTTAAACTGTTTTGTGTGTATATAGACTTGGATAGAGAAACCTATAAGCCTTTATAATAATTATTATTGAAATGGAACGACATAAAGAAAATATTTAGGTTGTGAGTAGGCAACCATCAATACAAGTACCCGCTTTGCTCGGAATAAGTACAGTTCCTGCCCAATTTTTTAGACTCCCGGACCAGTCACAACAAACCAATGAGAGTATAATAATTTTTGTATTTGTATTGTCCATAAAACAACGGGAACTGGAGATACCCTCATAGTCATAGCAAAGAATATAGAGGCATACTATATTCTTTGGTCATAGTACATAGTATTGCTTTAAAAAGAATCTCTTTTAAGCATTAACCCTTTCTATGCGGGAACCTTAAAAATTAATGCCTGTCCCATGCACGTCAATTTCTAGTTCAGATTTTTTCGGATATCTGGTTATGAAATAAGAGTTAACAAAGTGACAAGACAGTTTTTATTGATAGTACAGAACAAAATTTGAAAAGAAACCACTTATCATTAATTACAGAGCTATAAAGTTGATGTCAATTTTTTGTAAAGCATTTGAATCAAAAGTCTTTTTTGTGTGGTAAATACCAAAACAAGGCGCAACACAAAGTGCTAGATGACAGACGGAGCACATATATATTGATTCTGCGCGTTTTTTTTATTTTTATCACATACGACGCACCTCTTAGTCGGACTTTTTTTATAAGTTGTGAGTGGAACTACACCAGGAAAATGTCTTTCTGTGAGCCTCAAATCACATTCAACTCCACATTTTCTGCCTCCTCCCATGCGGGAAGGTAGAACATGATATTTAGCTACAATTTCTTCTACTAATCTGAGTTGGACTTTGGCTACTGAAATATTTTCGCCAGTTTTAGCTTTATAAAGCTGATAAGAGTTTAATACAGTCAGATCCAACAAATGGAAAAACACCTTCTTGTACCATTTAATGGTTTTCCTGATACTTTCTATCGATGAAAGTAGCATGTCGCATTTGTCGACTGATCCCATATTATTGTTATATTCAATGATACAATGTGGTTTTTTCATAATGTCTCCTGTAAGATAATCTACACATTCTGTATTTTTTAGTTGCGCACTATAACAGCTAGTGAGCATCCAAACTTCACGCTTATCTTGCCATTTCAACATGAGAAGTTTATCTGTAGATCTGGGCACAACTTCACCACGTTTAAGTTTTCTGTCAATTTTTGGCATTAATTTCCTCTTTGACTTTACTGTTAAACAAGTATTCGTTTTTAGATCGTGAAGGTGTGAGAATAACATAGGACTTGAGTACCAGTTATCTACAAATAGGCTATGCCTTTGTTCAAGTAAGGCTTCAAAAGTGACATAACAATGTCAGCAGATGTTCCCAGTTTTTCAATTTCATATTCTTCAATATCAGATGTGGCTCCCGTGTATATGATGAATTCGAGAACATAGCTGGTTTCACAACCACAAAGGAGAAAAAAATTAACTCCAAACCGATGTCTTTTTGAAGGAATGTACTGTTTAAAAAGAGTCTGCCTTTATATAATAACAGACTTTCATCTATGCAAAGATTTTGAAACTGACTGAAATTTTCTCTAAATTTGGATTTCAAATGATCTACTATAATCCTTATTTTACGTTAACTATCTCTTTTGACAGGCTCTTCATCATTATCGACAAAATGCATCATCTGCAAAATTAGTAGAAAACGCGATCTCTTGTCATGAAGCGCCCAAAAATTGGAGTATTCATAAAAGGTTTACTAGTCCAATAATCATTGATAATCGATTTTTTCGTCTGGAGCATCAACAGATTGATTGCTAAAAAGCAGTACATTTCATTTATATTAACTGATTTCCATCGTTGTCTACTTTCCTGTTCATAGTATCGGTTTGTCTTATCTGCAATTTTCTTTATTATTTGGGACGTAAAAAAGCTTTCAAAAAATATCTACAGCATGTGGCGTATCTAATAAACTATCAATTTTACATCCAGAATTAGTATTATCAAAAAGGTGTATGACCGGTAAAAACGTTTCATCTATCCAAATAAATGCCGCAGCTTTCATAGTTGTTGTTAACTGTTAGGCTGGTGTGTTGTTCAATTCATCTCCAGTTTTATTTTCTGCATCATCTTCAGCATCTTTTTCAGCAATATTTTGTAATTTTTCCACGAGCGTTGATGCTAGAATGAAAGAAATGCTTATATAAAATCAACACAAACACAAGAATATACAACACACGTTTTGAGATCAACGTGCAGTACAAAAAGCCTAGTAAATATATACATACCTATTAAGTTTTTGGTAATCCATCGTCGCTGTCATAATCGTTCATAAAATCACCTTCAAAATCACTTTCTTCTAGCATACTCGCAGATCTGCATCAGTAAGAAATTTCCGACTCATTTTCGCGACGGGTAAAACAATACTGATTCAAGTTCAAATTGCAACCAAGCAAATATTTGTATATAGTACCTCATGTGAGTTAACTCGTCTAAACTACGTTCCACGTTAAAAAAATAACATTGCGGAGATAGGGCCATGTATTTCTTATGGACGATAGAAACGCGGCGTTGCCACGACACACACAAGCACAATTTAGGGTCGTATAATTTGTATTTTCGTTTCCACAGACATGAATTAAATTAATGTTTTTTAACGTAATTGACCAAAAGTGCCCATTCGAAACAAGAGATGAAAAGTAGGGAAAATGATTTTAATTAGATAAATAGTATTTACAAAAAATTATTTTATTTTATCTTATTTTAATTATAGTTACGACAGTTTATTTGTTTTTCGGTGAGCCATGAATCATAGAAATCAGTAGAAAATATTGCTTAATAGTTAAATCATGCATTTTGCCGCCTATTATAGTTTTAAAAGCAAATAAACGGACTTGGAATGCGTATATCTAATTACTAATTGCAACTTAAAATAATACGATTTGCGTATGTCAGCGATTTTATGTCGTTCTCTGACTACATAATGATAATAAGGCTTTTATTTGGTAGTTATTCTGACTTTACAGTTAAATGTTAATTGAAAATAAAAATTCAAAAATTAAGCAAAGGGAATATCTTGGACATCCGTACAAAAGAGAGTGTCTGAGAGTTTTGGCAACACTGATCTCCATAAGCGTAATGTTATTTTCTTAACTTGAAACAAAGAATAGAGCAGTCTGAGCGTATGTACTGTCGGTGTGCGCGGACAGAGACGGAACATTTGACTTGTCTATAAGCAGGTGACATATATCGAATAACAAAGCTCTACTGCATATTGAAACAGTTCTTATGATTTACTCAAGTTCACTCGTCAAGAGCAGTGAAAGGGTTAAATGTGGTCATTGGTCGTAGTAACAAGGTCACAAGAAGGTAAATGACAGAACCTTCTATTATGACAAGAAAATTTTTTTTGTGAATAATTAACTGTCCTAATGCCCCCAACCAGGAACAAATTCAGATTAAAACTGATTTTCATTAATCAACTTCGAAAATACTTAACAAAGCAAAAAATGATTTTTATTTATTTATTCCCAATTAGTAGCAAAGTAATTTATCACATTAAGCTTGTATTTGGGTGAAAATTAAGTTTGTATTTAGGTGAGATAAGAAAAAGTCAATGAAAACGGTTAATAATCTTTATTAAAGTAAACCACAGAAAGTTTTATCTTTGGTAAAACATGTAAAATCTTTATAAAAGTACTAAAATATATATTACCTACAACTTCACAAATAAAATATTAAAACTGTACAAATCATTTGAGGTAACTTGGTAGTAATATTTATTAGTAATTGATAAACAGTCAAGGAACATTCTAGGCTTTTAAATCAACTAATACAGAAGAAATACATTCATTTTCTCTAAAAGTGTCAAAATATTCAAAAAAAAACTTCTCAGTTGTTCCTAACTTATAAGTATTAATAAAAAAAATATATATCTAAAGCAACCATTATCGAAAATCTAAGAACCAGAAAAGAGCTGGTCACTCAACACAACTGATCCTGTCCTTAGTTCGATTATTTCCTATACATTTATGCAATTTTCAAAACAATTCCACAAAACACTCCCTATTGACCAGATTTGGCTACCTCTGACTTTCATCTACTCGAGTATCTCAAACTGATAATCCAAAAACATATTGGGACAAATTAAGACTTAATAACATTCACTAATTGAATAATACCTAGTATGGCACTTTAGAAACAAAACCCAATTATCAAAAATACCTGGACAAACTAAGGAAGTCTACCCTGAGAAATAAATGCCTTTTTTTAAATAAAACACTAATTTTAACATCTAGTTAATACTAGATGAAAAAGAATCCTGGTATTTCACTTTTGAAAAATCCAATTATCAATTAAATTCTCCTAAATCCCCTACATATCTCTATAAATCCCTTGAAATATGATGCATCCATTTTTTACTGTATTCTATAGTAAGAAACATGACAGCTGTAGCTGGAACAGCTCTAATAACAGTTGGCAGCAAACCATTATACAAAGCACCTATGCCTTCATGTCTTGCTATCTTATATATTAACTTCATCATATTTTCATTCAGATTGTTGACTTGGATACGTGACTTAGCGACATCAGCTGGAAAGAGAGCAGTCCAAAAAATTCCCCCACCCATTCCACCTGCTATCATTGTTTTTACCAGACCTATGTCCTCCTTTTTCTGGTCTGGTTTCCTTAATAGTTCTCTAGTACCTAAAAATAGGCTAAATTAATGATTAAAGTATATCAAAATAACAAATATATATGTAAAAGAAATATATTCCTTGTAAACAGATACAAAAAAAAAGAAAGAAAGAATGTTCTGTCAGATTATTATAAAAATCTAAGATCTATAACACAAATCAAAGAGTATACAGCAATTAGCTGTAGTATTTATTAATTATTCTGACAGTAGGGCATTTAATAGTTGCTAACAATAATAAAAACTGTTCTGAATCAAAATACAAACAGCTTTAGAAATACAGATAGTAGCAATCAATAGAAATTTTGGAAAAAATTTGACTAAAATATGACAAAAAATGTTAACTAACTGTTTTGTTCTTTATATATTGGTTAATTAAAGAGAAATTATAGAAATAATATGATCAAAACAAAATTTAACATGGAGAAGTTGAAAATTCAGATATAAAACAGACACAAAATGATATATTTAAATAAAATTCAGAAAAGTGCAACAAAAATCTGAGAAATGTAAAAATATCATCACAAACCAAAGTAACACTTTATATGTATATTTAGATAAACAATGATTACCTTCATATGCACCAAAGAAGAAGAAATATCCAGGCATCTCTCTCACAATAGTGGGCACTAACCCACGAAACATGCCTTTAACTCCTTCAGTTCTTATAACTTCTGCAGTCAATTGTAAAGGTCCTACACTTTTGACAGGTTTTCCTAATTGAGCCTGCTGTTTGTTGACTTCGTGCATGGCTTGCAGTCTACATTTGACTAATTCTGTAGGACAAATAGCTACTGAAGAAAAAAAGGCTGCTAAAAATCCAGCTGTTGCATTGGTGACAGTACTTAATTCATCTATAGATTGAGCTCCTGTGATATGTTGCATGAATTTTTGGCAAAAACCATAAGCAAAAAATAAAACAGCGTTTTCTGCAACATTTGTAGCTAATGCTGGTACTGTTCCTGCATATAATCCCCTTCTAACACCATCTGTTTTTAAAGTGGTTGCAAAACAATTGAACATATTTTTGTATAAAGTTGGAAATGTCTGCATTTTTACTTTAACTGTGTCTAAAGGTTGTCCAACATATACTAATGCGACACCACCTGAAATATTAAAAAGGTATTGTTACCCATAGTAAAAGTAACAGAAATATAATAATTACCCAATGACCCCCCTGTAAAATCAATTATTCCATCTTTAACGTGTTGCTTTCCACTAGTTTTTAAAACCGTTGAAGAATCTGATTGATTCTCCATTTTAGTGCGTAAATTATAACACCAGCAGAGTATTCATAAAAATTCATTAAATAATATATTTAAATCTGAAACTGTCGTTTAAGGTTAGAAAAGTTCATAAGTAGAGTGATAAGATAACAGCGTAAAAACGATTGATTTTGAAATTTTGTTATCACTTTAAAATTCATGTTTTAGAAAGGGATCTAATCAATGATTATAATTAATAGAAATTAAAAATTAATCTTTGTTCTAGGAATTCCCATCCCATATAAATAACAATGAAGATAGTCGCATATGCTCACAGCACACTCTCACCTAGCAGTGTCAGTCCCATATTATCAAGTAAACAACGATTGGCGCATTGCATAGTGCCAGGGTGCGTAACTATGTATGTATATATTCTGGGAAGGAATATATTGATCCAAGGTTAACACAAGACAGGTTGCATTAGACAACAGGTCTACCGTGACGTCACTCAGGATGTCAATTTTACGAATTGTTTGAGAACAAAATAGGATAGGTGGTTTGGAGAATATTTTTGTTGTTAAATATCGTTAGTGCTTTAGTTTATGTTTATATATTAAGGTATAATGTATCTATAGAAATAATTAAGTGTTTTTAGTATATAACTTAAACCCAAAACTCTTATACAAGTGTTGATATATTGTGGTTGTGTTAAGCACCTACTTACAGGATTGTATTTATGCTGTATTATATAGCAAAGGTAACGTTAGAATTAATGCAGGAAAATGTTTAACACAAATTAATTCAAATTTTTTTATTGATTTAAATGACTGGTCGACATATTTGCAACGTAGCAATCTGCAAAAATAATTAAAATTACGATTTTACGGGACGTTTCTCTGATTAACTTTCATGAGCACTAATCTGCTGACTGGAATTTGAAGGCCTTTGGGTCGCGGTAGTCTCCATTCTCAATTAGATCGTTCTTGATCTTTTTAAAACCACTAGAAACTTTATCACAATCATCAAGCTGTTCGTGCAACTGCCTCACGATAAAATATTTTACCAGCATTGTTGATCGGACAGTGGCAAATTTAAAAAATGTAATAAATAGTCTTTACAGAAAACTTGACATATATTTTTTTAAAAAGACAAAGTTTTTTTACTTGGCTAAGGTGCGTTTAATCTCGCCCAAGAACCTTCCTCCTTTATCCGGGCTTAGGACCGGCAACAAGAGCATTGAGGTAGTAAATCTACACAAGAATCTGGTAGCCGGAGTTAAAAAACCTTGACTTACCGAGATGTAAAACTATTAAGCTAAAATTAATATGTTCAACACAAAATAAAATAATTAATTACGTTTTCGGAAAATTAATTGAAAAGTCAACAAAGTCTTTATCAACTAAAAAAGACAAATATTACACTTCTTTATCAATACGCAACTTTATTAACATTATAAAGAAATGTTCTACGACACAACACTAAGTAAAATTAAAGGCCTCAATAAAAAACGAAGAACACTTCCATATATTAGATCCAATTTAACTACGCGTTTAAAACAGAACGAATGACACCACAAAAGATATAAGATAAAGTAAAACTGAGAAATTCCAAAAAAAGAAATTCACATTCAGAAATTCAGTTTGTTTCAATCAGTAAAGTGAATACATTCTCAGTGACGTCATTCTAAAGCTACCAGACAACCTGTCTATTTACCAACCTTGACTTATATCCTTAACGAGACTTGCGCCACCAAACGGAAGGGTGCATAAATAACGTGCGTTGTCCTTGGCTATTCTTGTTACAAATCTAGGTTTATCTGTGCTTATAGTAAAACTCGTTTGATTGGATCTACTTAAATTTTTACTGGAACTAAATACCTTAACAAAATAGGCAGACATCTGTCAATAAAAATAAGTGGATGTTGTCATGCTTTTAACTTTTAATTTTAATTTGTCATACGTGGACGTTTTTGTGTCAAAATAGAAATTATGTTATTAAATATCTACATTTCTGTTCTTTAAATTCTAGTTTATCAATGAGGTAACGTGTCTGTACTAATTTCATCAAATCGTTCTCAGCAAATACGTCGTTGTATTTCGATATTAATATTTGTATGTTTCAGGTAAGTTAATATGTTGAAAGAGCCTGACCCGGACCCTGGAGGTGAGGCCTCTGGGCCCCAAACCTCCAGAGAAATCAAGGATTTGCAAGAGGAGAACGAACAGCAGCAAGTACTGATCGCTCAACTTAAAGAGATGTTGAGAAAAGAACAGACTACAGTACCCCAAGAAAAAGTGGAAAAATATATAAACACCTTAAGCAAAGCCAAAGCTAAAAAATCAAGACTAAAGAGAGATGATTCTGGTAGCACCGAGAAGAGTAGTACTTCTATGGATAGTAAGAAGCATGAGAAAGTTAATCTGTTAAAGCAACAATTAGAGGAGAACAAGTAAGTGTTAATAGAATGCTAGAATTTAATACTGCTGATGTAATTTTCATATATTTTTTGTGTGTATACTACACTGATGACAACAAAAATTTAAATATATGGTAAAATGTCATTGTTAAATAGATGAAAAACAGGGCAAGTTGAGAAAGATGAACACAGAAAATGAATTGTTACAATAAAACACAGGATCCAATTAATGGAAAATTAAAAAATATATGACAAAAACAAATCTATGAAGTTGAATCAATGTATTTTGTCAGTGTTATATACAAATTTTATATTATGGCAGAAAGTGGACAAGGTTATAAAATTCCAAGTAGAAAAGAATGAGATTTATTTATTTTGGTATTATAATAATGTATGGGAAACTTCATCTGTAACAATAATATTCCATTAATAGTTTCAAAACTTAGGTGAACATATTCAATATTTAGTGACATTGACACTTCTTGGATTGTCTTGAATATTTTTAATCCTACGCCTTCAGTTAAATAGTTTATGTATTCTTTGGTGGGTTGAACTCAGTTAAATGTTAGTATGAGTATTACTAAAATGGCAACAATAAATAAATATTTACAGTAGCCTCTAATTTCTGAATATTAAAGATTTAATATTGCTTGTACTCTTGTACAGGTTATTAAGCATGTTCAAACAAAATAAACATTAGTTAACATGTTCACAGACATGAATAAAAAATTAGAGTTTCATCGTCTAGACATTTCAGTAGTTCCAAAGGTATTTCGTCTGGACCTACAGTTTTTCCGTTTTGGCGTTTTGTATTGCTTGTTCGATTTCCTCTATTATGATCTCTGGCCCCGTTTCGCTGTCGATTTCTTCTGGATCTTGTCAATTAACCTGAAACAGATCAGTTATGTATGGCTTCCATTTTTTTAATTTCTATAATGATTTTTCCATTTGCGTCTTTCAGTAGGGCATCTTTCTTTTTTCTCAATGAAGTAGCATTCATTAAATAAAGATACATATTTTATTTCCTTGATTTTGATATACCTGTAATGTCGCAACTTTTTTAATGTCAACTATATACAAAATTAATAAAAAAATATTCATTTCCTTTATAAATTTTATTATAACTGTAAAAAATACATTTTTTATATGTATAATAATAAGTGGAAGGTTAAAAGTGTCTGGCAAACCTTTTATTACTGCTGATAATATTTTATAGAGTATTCATAATAGTTTCACATATCAGTAATGTTTGTATATAACATTTATTTTTTTAATTAAATATACACATTAATTGTGTTATCAAATAACATTCCTGGATTGAATTTTTCTAAACAGTTTTACATCGTCAGCAAACATAAGAAAACCACAATTTTTTGTATTAATCGACTAAAGGCAAGCAAAATAAAGCAGTGCCACAATGGGAGCCTTGCGGTACCCTGATGTTATTGTTATTTCAAATGAGGTATCACTTCCCAAATTAATTGTACTCCTCCCTCTCATAACGCCAAATTGTTCAGGATTAAAAATCTTCTCTTCAGGACTGTATTGTTCTACCTTGTTTTTTTCTAATGCGTGGTGTCATTTTTCTATCTATTTTTAAGCATTCCAGTTTAGTCTTCTTGCTTGAATTGAAGAGGTCAGTGCAAAAAGTGGCTAAGTCACATTTTTATGTTTCTCAGTTATAGGCGGTTGAAAGTTTTAAATGGTTCTCACATCTAGATTTTGAAAAACTAACATGTGATTTTTTTATAAACATACACCTTTAAGCTATATACTAAATGAGACAACGTAATTATAAATTTATTTATTTATGAGAAAAAATATTTTTAAATATGGACATACTTAACTACTTCTTGTGGAAAAAAACATCTAAAAATTAAAAACTGGAATTATCACAATAATATATTTCTGAAAATCGTAAGTAGACACAGACTATAGTTTATTTTTATGAACGAGAGAGTAATTAGCATAATTTTAACTGGTATCTCCGACCACTCCATGGGCGTGCTCAAGATTAATTGAAAAATTACTTTGAATAATTGTAAAAAATAAATGAATTATTTCAGTGTTATAAAGTGTTATGTGTATGTAAACAAAAGTGACCTCTTTTATCACACACTATATTAGAACTGACTGGCCTACATTAAAGAGGGTTTTAAAAAATTCACATTTTTTTAATTTTAAAAAATTACAAAAGAGAAAAAGAGTTTTTAAAACCGTCTAAGGTATGTTAAATAGATGAATAAAAATATTAATATAAAACTTACAGCTACTTGTTACAAATCCAAATCAGATTCAGAAGATGAACTTTCAGAACCAAGATTTATAATAACTGGCTCGATCATTTTATCAGTAATATTGTCCAGTTTCCACATTTTTTCCTCTTCTTTAATAGTGTGATTTACTGCCTTTTCCCAGTTTTCAGGTTTTACATTATTTACGGCCTCCAAAAACAACTGTTTAACATCATGAATTTTAAAAGTGGTATTTTTTCTTGAAACTTCACTCTTTATCTGTGCCCATACCAGTTCAATCAGGTTTTATTCACAATGATATGGTGGGGCTCTAAGTACTGTCATTCCACGATTTTTGGCAATTTCATCAATTTCGTATTTTTTAAATTTTTCTTTATGAAGGGCACACAACGAATAAAGTTCCTTTCTTGTAGATCCGGGATGGTACGTAATATTTTTTGAACTCAGCCAATTCTGCAAGTCTTTTTTTAACCACTTGGTTGTGGGCAGTCCTTCTATAAGTCTGGAGTGATAACTTGCATTATCCATTACTATTACACAGTTCTTAGGAAGAAGATCTATCATTTGTAATCTATCAACCATTCTTGAAAGACATCAGCGTTCATGTCTTCATGGTAGTCACCGGTACGAGTTGATTCAAAAGTTAATAAACCACCTTCAACAAAACCGTCTGAACTGCCAATGTGTACTATTATCAGCCTGCGTCCTTTTCCTGATGGTGGGTTTAAACCAGTAGATAAGTTATTTACAAAAGCGTGCCTTTGACTTGTAACAGTTTCATCCTGCCAAAATTTATTTGGTGTATGACCCTCGTTGATCCATGTTTCATCAAGATAAAATATTTTTCTTTTTTGGTTTCTCATTTTCTTTGGGGTTCTTAGAAAATGTCTTCTCCATATGACAATATCGCTTCTTTCTAATAAAATAGACTTTCTGGGATTCTTTTTCCAGCGGAAGCCTATTTCTTTTAAAAGTTTCCATAACCTACTTCGACTCATTTCTGGGTAATCCTTATCATCTCGAACTAGACAAGAACTTTATCCAATGTTGGAAATTCTTGTCTAAAGAAGAATTCATGCACTTTCCGTCGAAGTCCTTCTTTAAAATGATATTCTATTTGAAATTTTGGTTTCCCTGGAGCATTACGTGGCATTTGAAAACTACAACATTTCTCTTCTTTAATAACTCTGTAAATTGTAGATTTCCCAACACCAAGTGTACTGCTAACTAACTCAACGGTCTCATCAACACTTTCACATAAACGTTTGTCTGTAAATGATTTAAAACAATTAAATATTAATGTTTTTTCATTAACTGTTAAAGGACCAATTTTTCGGCGTTTACACGGCACTTCCAAATTTTCCATAACACTAGTTTACACAATAAACTGCACCTTGTAACTGAAGTAACTACTTTTAGTGAACTGTTAAGAATTTTGAATACGCCACTTGGACCTTCCTACAAAACGGAAAAACCCACTATCACATTTTCTGTGGAATAAGTTTAGAAGGTAATTATCTAGTCAATTACTGTCGTAGATTCCTGGAATTAAAGAATTAAATGTTTGATTGTTGAAACCCTTACTTCGTGGAATGCACTCATTTCAGATAAAATAAAACGTTTTATTTTATCTAAAGAATTAAACTTTATTTTGCAAATAGGTAGGTACTTATTAAACTTTTATTGGTTATATATAACCAATAAAATAAACATCTTACATTTCTTGCAAATTCATTAGTACCTGTTAACCTCCATCACTCCGACACTGGCAACCTTATTTAGGGATTAGTAACCCTCACAACTATTGTATTCTATTCTGCTCCAACCTTTATACCTGGTGGTCATACTCAATTTAAAATTGTTTTCCTATATACTTCTGTAAACTTGTTGACAAATATCTGTTTTTCATTGAGTCACCCGTATCAACAGTTTAGGGATTTGCATACATAATTTATTGTTTTATTACTCTCTCATACATAAAAATACACTATAAGTGAATTCGATTTTAGGGCAAAACTAGCTGAAAGAGGCATGCGTCAGAAAGATCTCCAGGAAATGGTCACAGCCATTAAAACCCAATTGAATGACACTCAACAAATTATTAATGCCACACCAGCTGGCCTCATCTCAATAGAGAAAAATCTGGAATACAACAAAAACACGAGTCCTGAAGAGTTGTACAACATTTTGTTAGTTAAAGAAAAGAAGATCACCGAGTTGTTTGAAAAAACACACAAACAAGAAGGTTGGTTTCATTTTTTAACAATTTGAATCATGTACCTATATGTAATCATACTAAATTATATTTTTAGGCACTATTTTGGATTTGCAAGAGAATCTAAAAGAGAAAGACCAAGTAATAGATGCCAGGACAAAAGCCATAACTCTAATGACTGATAACCTGAGTAAAAAGGGAAAGGACACATTGGATGCTTTGGACGAAACCAAAGAACAGATGAGGAAGATGCAGGAAAATTTTATAACATTAGAAAGCGAAATGAAAGCTCGGCAGATGATGCTGCTGAACGATTTAAAAAATAAAAACATCGAAATAACAGAATTGCAAGAAGAAATTGAACAGGTTAGGAAAGAAAAGAACGAAATGTCTAAGAGTAATGTAGAAAAACCTGAAGCGGAGAACCACGAACTTATTATTAAAGATCTTCAACAAAAATTTGCAGATTCGAAGAAGCTAAACGAAGAAAATGCTTCGAAAATAAATGATTTAGAATCACAACTTCAACAGACTCAAGAAAAAAGTGGACAATCATCGAATTCCGAAATAGAAAAGTTGAAGAAGCAACTGGAGGAGAGCAATAAAAATATGATTAAAGTAAAGGCACAGAACAAGAGCAAGATTAAAGATTTAAACAAAAAATTGGATTCCTTTAAGAAAATGAGCGATGCCAACGCCACAATTATACAATTACAGAACGATATAACAAAATTGAATGAGAAAATTGCTGAACTGGAAGAAGAAAAAGGTAATATGCAGTTGAAGATGGTGGAATCTATTGAATCACTTAAAGGTATGTTTACTCAAAATAAGTAATTTACTCAAAAATTCACTTAAAAAATATATACAGAGGAAAATTCAATATGTTTTTCTATATTTCTTCTGTATTAGTAAATTCAATGACTATTTCGTGCTTTAATAATTGCAGGATCTTCCCAAGCCGATGATGTTAAAGAATTGCAAGACAAATTAGCAAGAAATTCTGAAGAACTGGATGAAAAGGACAAAATCATAAGTTTATTGGAGAACGGTAAGTTTTCAACATTCTATGACTCGATAACAATAAACAATGTTTCATATCAACTCTTTGTCAACCATTTTCCATGCACTCCTGAATGTAGGTATCTACCAATTGCTTCTATCTTTCTCTATCTTACGCCAATCTAATCCACTGTTTGCCTCCACTGCTCTTATGTCATCTAGCCATATTTTTTGAGGTTTTCCCATGCTTCTTGTTGTCGTCCTTGGTCTCCATTCTAGAATTCTCTGTGTCCACCTGTTGTCATTATATCGGGCTACGTGACCTGCCCAGCGCTATTTCATTTTTGTAATTTCTTCCACAATATCCCTAATCTTCGTTCTACAGATTGAAGGAATTTAAAAGGGATCATACAATTTAATATATGTCTGTTTGAACTGCATTTGAAATAGTGGACCAATATAAAACTTGGAGAAAAATAAATCCATACCTGGGTATAGACATTGTATAAAATATCGTTCAACTATCTGTCTCGCAACAATGTTGTTTGCGTAAAGGAAGCGATAATAGTTCAGGAAATGAAGCTCGAAAAAAGTTAAAACTTCGCAATTTTTTCGTCCTGCATGCATTGAGTTGAAATTTTAACAGAAGATAGGTGATAGCCCAAGGATCAAAATCTATATCGAACCGAAGTGCGCTGAAGGGTTTTAGAGGTGAAAACTACTCCTAATTGTCAAAAATTATAAAATAACATTAAACCTGAATATGGCTAATATTTGGTATGAATTAGTTAAATAATGATTATTTTATACTTTTGAATAGAGTTCCATCATATTTCAACCTTTAAAAAGCAACCCTTATTAGAGATTAATGTAAAAAAATTACTAATTCTAAAAAATGATTTCGCTTTGGGTCGATTTGGATAAAAATTTGGATTTAAGCTCAATTCACCCACTGCTTTATAGTTTATGTCATGCCGATGAACTCTGATTGTTTTTAGGGGTGAAAACTACCCCTAATTTTCAAAAATTGTAAAATAACATTACAAATCTTAAGATGAGTGAAATTTGGTTTGGATTAGCTAAATAGTGATTTTTTTATACTTTAAAACACAATTTCATACATTTTCGACCCTTAAAAATCAATTGTTATGAGTGCTATAGGTGAAAACAATTTTTTGCCAAAATTTTGCAGCTTTTCAACTTTTGAATATCACCCTTTATAACATTGCAGTTTTTATAAACTAATTTAATAGATATAAATTGAAAAAAGTAGAATTAAATACAAAAAAATTTATCAACATAAAAAGGCACCATATATTCTTATACATTTACATAAATAGTTGAAAATATTTACATTTATAACAACAACAACAAATGTTCATCGAGTGCAGGTTGTTTGTTCATGCGTACGGGTAATAACAAACCATCTTTGGAATACCATCCCCAATCTGTTGCTCTAATATTTTCATTGTCAAGCCATAGACATATGAGCAGATGTTTTATTCTGTTGTATGGGATTTCAAAATAAGAACGCTTAAAATTTCGAATGTATAACGCCCCACTACCTAATATATCGGTTTTGTAGATTATTATGCTCCGAAATGTACTGTAATATACTAATGGAATTTTCCGGAAAAAAAATTAATTGATTTTTTTAACGTATTTCCTTCATTTTTAACGATAGAGTGTTTCTTCAAAAACGATTTGGTAGAGGTTTTTAAGAGCTACAAGGATATGTGAATTAAATCTTTTTGGAACCCTTGGTTTTTAAATGGGGTGAGTTTAAAGGGCTCGAAAAAGATGGTGCTTGATCGTAAATCGATGCTTTAAACGGCTATATCTCGCCAAATATGCATTGTACAACAAATCTAAATAAAGGAAAATTTTAGTCATTAAAAAAGCTACAATTTAGTACATTTTTATTTTTTTCATATATTCAGTATTCATATATTCAGTATTTTCGGGGATATTTAAAAAAAGAAGGGTAAAAAATATGAAATTTTAAATAGTTTCTCGCTTTATGCTGTACTTTTTTTAAAACTAAGCATTTTAAATGGGTCAAACTTCTTGGACGTATTAACAATACATGTACAAAGAGAATTGCAGAAGGGTGAAGATCGATTTTAATTATGGAGGTGGTTAGGGGTTGTTTTCATCGATTTTTTCGTAAAAAATGAGGTATTGACCTTATTTTTCTCATAACTCACTCAATTTTTGAGCTAGAGTCTTTTTTATGATAGGTCTATTTATGCTCTTTAAAAAAAGGTTTTGTGAGTTTTCTTCCAAAAATGCATCATTTTCTCGATATTTGACTTAGAATCTTCAAATTTGGCATTTGTAGAAAACCGCTGAACATTGATAGGCCGTATTTCGATTCCTGTTATATCGCAAAAACATTTTAAAAAATGAATTGTATTTGTCTTTTTAAAAGCTACAAATTTGTTCTCTACAATTTTTTTGATAAAATGCACCATTTTCGAGTTATTCGCGAAAAATCGATTAAAAACGTCGATTTTTTCGTCTAAAAGTTGTTACTTTCAATCGCGAATAACTTGAAAAATATCAGTTTTACAAAAAAAATGTATAGAACATTTTTTGTTTAGAATCACTTTTTTAATCGAAACCTGTAGTTAAAACGTAAAAAAAAATTTCAAGCCGAGATGGGGTGGCAACCACCCCTAAGGCTTTGGCGCACTTTGGTTCGATATAGATTTTGATCCTTGGCTATTACCTACCTTCTGTTAAAATTTCAAGTCAATCCAAGCAGGACGAAAAAATTGCGAGGTGAAATGCTTCATTTCCTGGACTAGCAGGTGGTTTGACAGCATAATAAAATCGTAGATTTATGTGTAGCTTTCAATTTTTATGATTTCAGAATCCAGCAGCCCGCTGAAGTATTGGATTTTTATAATATAATTATTTGACAACCTTTTTTTGGTCAACCACCTACAGCAGAATTGAGCCGAAATACATAATATTTCGTATGTTCCGAATTTATTTCGTTCAATCTGTATGTCTTATCTCGGTGTTTCAAATCTTGTCTCTTAGTGATATTCCAAGCATGATTCGTTCCATTGCTCTTGGCAGTGGTATGGAAAATGAACTACATCGTTATTTAGAGCTGCTGTCAATAAAGTCACGATAGCTATTATGGTAGTCAACATGATATCCAACGCTCGATAACGGTTATGGAACTAAAAGAAGATTTTAGATTTTTTAAAGAAAGTGTTAAGACAAAATAAATTTTCGTTGTTTAAGTAGTTGTACAACATCTCACCTCTTTCGTTGCTGTTGTCCAGCCCAAAGCGACCGATATATTGTGTGTCGCCCTCTTCTTTTGTTCCAATTTTTACATCTCCTGTGGTTATTACGAAGTGTGATTTTTCTTGGTTCCTTGCTGTTATCAGATCCTCGTAAAATGATTCAGCTTTCTCGTCTGTTGAGTTTCCCGTCGGTGCATATCCATGTATTATCTGTAAGCTGTATCTGCTGTTCAAAGCGATGACAAGATATATGACTCTGTTTGATACTGCACAGAACTTCGTTAATTTATAGGGAGAGAGTTTGTTTATGAGGAACGCTACACCGCCTATGTGATGATTTTCCACGGAGTTTTTCTGGTATAGCTAGCTGGTGACCAGATTTTAAGATGGTATATGCTTCTCCTGTTAAGCGAGTTTCGCACAGTCCAATTATATCCCATTTGATATTTGAGAGCTCTTGTTCTAGTTCGTCAAGGTGTTCTTGGGTCCTCATAGTTCCTATATTGTAAGTGGCTATACGAAGCAATGATGGGTAGTTTTTCTTATTAGATTCAGTCAAATATATCATTCAACAGTTTAATCGAATTAAAATTTTTATTGCTTGAATTTTATTTCAGACATTATTTCTCTGAAAACAGAGATAACAAACTTGGCCGAGAAAAATTCCAGTCTGACTGACATACAGAATGAGCAAGTGACGTCTGAAATTCAGTCCATCCAAATCGAAGAGCAGTTCGAAGCCTTGCAGAGAGAAAATAGTAATTTAAAAGAAGAAATTAATAACATAAGTAAACAGAATAATGAACTTCTTGAAAGGATCGAAGAATTTAACAAAGAAAAAGTGGATTTAACGTCGAAATTGGAGAGTTATATTCAGGTAAGTCTATTTATTCATAAAATCTGGTACAGTCAAATAAAAAAGATACCAACTTTACGATTTTTTTACTAAAAAAATGATTCCTTTCAGGAAAACATGGAGCTGATCGATAAACTGGAAAAACTGAGTGCAGAAAAGGTCTCATCAGCCGAAAGCATTGAGATCGTCGAAGGATTAACCCAACAAGAAAAACTAGAGCTGGCAGCGTACCAGAAACAAATGGAAACAAACTTGGAGGAACCTATAAAGGTATCGGAAGAGGAACCACCGGCGGAACTGAACGAGAGCGTGCTACAATTAACCGAAGACTCGGCGGAACTATTGAGTAAAATCGAAATGTTCAATATCGAAAGGAAAGAGGTTATGATGAAGTTGGACGCACTGAGGGAAGAAAACAACCAGTTGTCCTTGAAGTTAAACGAAATAGAGAATAATAGAGACATTTTAGCTGAAACATACGAGCAAGTTCAGACAGAGAAGGAAGATTTGCAGAAAGAGAATGAGGAACTTGCCAAAAAGTTGAAGGAATTGAAGGATGGAAAGGTTGGTCAAAATGAAAAGGTAAGTGATCTCTGTTTTAAGGTTTTATTTTTTATTTTTGAGGCTTCCTGTTATTTCCTAATAAAGTCTATTACTTTTCTTTTTTATTAGTGGTATAATCTGTCTATATATGTAAGAATTTTTCTGCGTATTATCAAAATTCACTCTCCTTTTTTTTGCAAATACAACTTTTTGGAAATTAACAGTTTGTTCACTTGCAAAGGGTAATTAGGTCAATATTGTTATCAAACCAGCTACTGGCTTGTTGAGACTCTTGTCTGTGTTTCTATAGCAATTTTTGGCATTTCTGTGGTAATTGGTCGGACTTCTGTAGCAATTAATGGCATACCTATAGATATTGCTGGGATTTCTGTAATAATTGCTGGGATATCTGTAACAAATGACCGAATTAATGTAGCAATTGGTGGGATTTTTGTAGCAATTGGTGAGATATCTATAATAACTGCCAAGATTTCTGTATCAATTGCTGCGGTTCCTATAGCAATTGTTGGCATTTCTGTGCAAGTGGTAGGATATCTCTAGCAATTTTCTGGACTTCTGTAGCAATTAGTGGGAATTCCATAGCAATTGATGGAATTTATGTAGCAATTGCCGTGATTTCTGCAACAATTGATGTGATTTCTAAAGCAGATTAGGGCATTTCTCTTGCAATTGGGACTTCTGCAACAATTGCTAGAATATAGCAAATGTTGGCATTTCTGTAGCAATTACTGGGATTTGTGTAGTAATTGATGGGATTTCTGTAGCGATTGTTGGCATTTCTGGGATTGTTGGGATTTAACAATAAATGGAAATTTTTTAGTAATTGGTGGGACTTCTATAGCATTTAATGTGATTTTTGTACCCATTGGTTGGATTTCCGCAACAATTCCTAGGATTTCTGTAGCAATTGTTGCGATTTCTATAGCAATTCTTGTTGTTTCTGTTGCAAGTGGTAGAATATCTGTAGCAATTTTCTAGACTTCTGTAGCAATTAGTGGAACTTCCATAGCAATTGATGGAATTTATGTAGCAATCGCTGTGATTTCTGTAACAATTGATGTGATTTCTAAAACAGATTATGGCATTTCTTTTGCAATTGGTCGGATTTCTAAAACAATTGCTGGAATATAGCAAATGTTGGGATTTCTGTAGTAATTACTGTGATTTTGTGTAGTAATTGGTGGGATTTCTATAGCTATTTGTGACATTTCTGTGAATTGGTCGGGCTATAGTTTCTATAGCAATTAGGCTGAAATCTTTAACAATTGTTATTTCTGAAGTAATTACTGTTTTTTTTTTCTAGTAATTGTGAAAAATCTGTAGCAAATAATCGAATTTATGCAGCAATTGGCGAGATTTATGTACCAATTACTGTGATTTATGTAGCAATAGCTGGGATTTCATTATCATTTGGTCGGACTTTTGCAGCATTTAATGGGATTTCTGTATCAATTAGGGGGAATTTCTTTAGCACTTGATCGGATTTATGTAACAATTGCTGGTATTTCTGTAGAAATTGCTGACATTTCTACAGCGATTTGATACAATTTCTGTTTCAATCGTTCTCATTTCTGTAGCAATTGGTATGATATATGTAGCAATTTTCTGGACTTATGTAGAAATTAGTAGGACTTCTGTTGCAATTTTTATAATTGTTGTAAATTGTGGCATTTTTGGTACAATTGGTCAGATTTCTACAGTAATTGGTGTAATATGTATACCAAATGTTGGGATTTCTGTAGCAATTACTGTGATTTATGCAGCAATTGGTGGGATTTCAGTAGCATTTGGTAGGACTTCTGTAACAATTAATGACCTATCTATAGCGACTGCTGGGATTTCTGTAGCAATTGGTCGAATTTATGTAGCAATTTGTGGACTTAAAAATAAATTGGATTTCTGTAATAATTGGTGCGACTTCTGTAGCAGCTAATGGGATTTCTGTAGCAATTGATTATATTACTGTTTTTTTTATAGCAGTTGGTGAAATTTCTGTTACAATTGGTCGGATTTCTGTTGCAGTTTGCCAGATTTCTGTAGCATATCGTAGGACATCAGTAATGTTCAGGACTTATGTATCAATTAGTAGAACTTTGTAGGATTTGATGGGATTTTTGTAGCAATTTCTGAGAAATCTATAGCAAATTGGACCATTTCTGTTGCAATTGATCGGATTTATTTAGCAATATTCATCTTTTTATAGTTCTATTACATGTGCTTCTGCAGTTCATGATTTGGTAGCTGAAAAAGTTTCTGCATAGTCTCAAGATGCGCTAATTGTTCTTTTGAAGTCAGCGTTTACATTTTCTGGTTCTTTTATGAAATCTTGTAACGGTTTAAGTTGACTTAGTTTCTCCCTTCTATTCTATTAATATAATAATAACTTCATTATTGATTCTTCTGTCTCCATGTTTTTATTCTCCCTGCACATGTTTTGTCTTTAAATTCCCTAGTTCCCGCTCATCGCAGTATTTTGACTTCTATTCTGGAAGAGCGGCGTGTGTATTGTTCTTCAACTCAGCAGAAATTCTTTAAAAAAGAAATTTATAATTTTAATTTTACTAAAAAAATAATTATTCTCTTGCAGGTTGAAGATATTCAAGTATCGGTCCAACTAGCAGATCTTCAGAGAGAATTCGAAAAGATATTGAGTGAAAATGCAGATTTAAAACAGACACTCAAAGATTTTGACAAAAACGTTCACGAAAAAGACAATTTAGAGTCTGAATTATCGAACGCGAAAGAAAAAATGATCGAATTAGAAACTAAACTGAAAGAAAACCTCGAAGAAATCAATAACTACCAAATAATTATCGAAGAAAACAAAACGGAATTAATTAATTCGTCTAATATTATTAACCAACTGCAAATACAGCTTTCAGAGAGCGAAAACGACAAGAAAGATCTTAATGTTCTGATAAATGATTTGAATACCGTCGTGAACGATTTACAAAACGAAAATATCAAACTAGGAGACTTTGAGATCATGGAAAAGCAAGTTGAGGAATTAAAGAAGTCGTTGAACGAACAAATTGAACTGGCGCAGTCACAAGCCGAAGACTTTAAAGAAGAACTAGCTTGGAATAAACAAGAAACGGAGAAGCAAGTAGAAGAAAAGACGAGAGAAAAGGAAAAGTTAACTGAAGAGTTGCTGCACAAAGATTCAGTAATCGAAAATCTTAAGGATCAACTTAGAGAAAAAGATGTACACGTTCACAAAGTTATCGACGAAATGAAACAAAAATACTTAGGTTTGCAAGAACAGCTCGATAATAACTCAGTTACTTTGAATAAACAGGACGAGCTGACTAGAAAGAACCGAGAACTTACAGAAAAATTGAAGAAAGTCGCTGCTAACTTGAAGAAAAAGACTCTCGCTCTTCAGGAACTGGAATCGAAGTACAACGACGATAAAGAGAAATGGGAAACGGAAATAAATAAGAAGGAATTTAGCTCTGATGAAGTGGTTGCTCTACAGACTCAACTTGAAGCTCTAAAGCAAGAGTTACAAGTGAAATCGAAAGCGTTGGAAAACTCAGACATTCAAATAAAGGAGCTTAAGGATGTTATCGAGACGTTGCAACAACAAAACGTAGATTTGCAGAATATGCTGCTAGAGGCGCGCCAAAAACAAGAAAAAGTAGCCGAAGTTAGCCTCAAGCAAGAATTGTCTACAAGTCTACATGAAGAATTCGACAATCTACACGGAAATAACGAGTCAACAAACGAAGATAAAGTTAAAGAATTGCAATTAATAATCGAAATGAACGAGTCAGAGTTAAATCACTTCAAAGAGAGAAGCCAAAAGTTGGAGCAAGACTTGGCCATTTTACTAGAAGAAAAAGACGACTTGTTAGTGAAGTGTAAAGACCTACATCAGCAATTGAACTTAATGTCGAAGAACATTGAAGAAAAGAGCATGCTAGAAGATCAAATGGGTCAAAAACTACAAGAAATTACAACGAACGACGAAATGCTCACTAGACAACTCGAAGAACTTAAAACCGATAATAAAGAACTTACGGATAAAAATAGGGAGCAAGAAGAATTGATACTTAAGTTTAAAGTTAAAATTAAGAAAACGCAGGAGAAGATAAGTCAGCTTAAAACATTACAATCTACTTTGGAAGAACAAGAAAATCTAAACGCTGACCTAAAGAAACAATTGGCGCATCTGGAGACCACGCAGAAGCATTCTCAACTGGAAAACGATGAACTACAGAAGCAAATGCAAAAGGACTACGAAAAGATCGAGAATGACTACCAACTTCAACTGGAAGGATTGATAAAGAGCCGGAATGAACTAACCTTCGAGTGTGAAAAGCTAGAAGAAGCAGTCAAGTCTCTAAAAGATAGAGAAGAAGAGTTGATCTTAGAAAATACCGAGTTTAAACAGAAAATAGACGAACTCGAAACTGATTATAACAATCAAATATCCAAGTTAAAGGAAAATCTCAACCACGTTTCGACAAATTGGGAAGAATCCCTTCAAAAAGTTGCTACACTGGAAAGTGCTATTGATACTTTACAAAAACAAATTATAGTGGATACAGCCAAAGAAACTATAGAAGAAGTACTAACTGAAGCGAAGGAAAAGGTTGTTGAGTTCAATACGAAAGATACTCAAACTGATGGTGAGTTTGAAGTTTCACCAATTAGTAAAGAAGTTCCAATTGTTGAGCAATGTTCAGAAAAAAACGCTCAAGTAGATATTCCTGCGTTTAATTGGGGCGACGAATCCCATCAGTCTTTACAATGGGGACAAGACTCTCAGCAGGCCAGCAGCTGGTTTGATGGTAACAATTTCGAACCAGTTGCACCAGTACAAACTGCTCCTGCTCATCAAAAATTGGTAGTTACAAAAGAAGATTTAGAAAGCAAGATAAAAGCTTTGGAAATGTTGCTATACAATGTAGATAAAGAAAAGGAAGCTGTTATTAAGGAATGTTCCGAAATGCTAAACGAGTTGACTCGATTGGTCTACGAGAAAGTTAGTGCGCAAACTCCAAGCACCGTTCCACCGCCTCGTGCAGCGTCTGACTTGGACTTGGAGTCTCAAATAATGTCGCTAGATCAAATTAAGGCTGCGCATGATGCACGTGCACTACAAGAACTTGAGTTTGAAACTAGTGACGCTTCTGTAGGTCCTCGTTTAGAGCCAGTCGTAGAAGTCGTCGATTCTCCGACCAAGGCTTATTTAACGTACGAACCAGAGGCCCAATTGTCTGACGTCGAATCTCAAATCATGTCCCCAGACGCGATAGATGCGTTTAAAGATCCCTCAGCGCTCCAACAACTAGAATTCGAAAGAACTGATCCAGCTTTAGGCCAACAGAGCTACCCAGTTGTGGAAAGACTGGCGCAACCGACAAAAGCATATCTAACGTATCAAGTCGGCGAGGCAGTGGGAGAAAACGATGACGGTTGGGGCTGGGGTCCCGAAGAGGCGAGACTAGAGGAGGAACATCAATATAGGTCCGAGAATACACCGCAGGTGCAAGCTTTGAAGTCAGATATAGAACAATTAAGACAGAAAGTGGAGACTCTTTTGGACGAAAAAGATGCTCATTATGAGGAAATGAAGCAACTGCAGGTGAAATGCGGTAAAATAATGAAGAAATGCAAAGATCTCAAGACACAAAATGAACAATTGTTAAAGAAGTCCGGCAAAGACGACTTTTTTGATCTGGATCAGACGATTCAGGAAGAATTGAAGTCGCAGATACAGCAATTGGAAAAGAAGATAAAGGAAACAAGCGCAGATTTAGAGAAGGAAAAGTTGGAGAAGTCTAATATACTAAAACGCGTTGACGTTCTTACAGCTGCAAATGAAAAGATGCTGGAGATGAAAGAGATCCAAGAATCGGAAATGTTAAAGTACAAACGAAAGCTCGAAGAGACGCAAAGTTCCTTTGGTTGGGGCGACGAGTTTCAAGATACCGAAATAAAGAAAAAAGAACCCCTAGTGCAACAAGACGAGGAAAGGGAAGATGTAGACGAGCTCAAGAAACTTATTAAAGATCTGACTGCCGACAACGAAGAATTACAAGCCTTGCTCGATGACCAAAAAAACCAGAGAGTGCAATTAGAACGCAGCAAGAGCCTAACCAACGAAACTAGATTAAACAACTTGGAAGAAGAGTTGCACAATAAGGAGGAGCTTATTCGAAATATAGAAGAGGAAAGGGACCGAATACTCGGTGAAATTAAAAAAGAAATTGACGAAAAATCAATTAGAATTCAGGAATTAGAAGAACAGATGCACAAGTCGCAAAGTAAAGAAAATAAAGCACTGGATAATACTATAAAAGAAATAGAAGATAAATTAGTACACATCACAGAAGAAAAAACTAAATTAGAGGAGGATATGAGGAAAAACATTGAATTACTGGAACGCTCGGAGGAAAATTTGAGAATAATTCATCACCAAAATGAAGAACTGAAGATTGCTCTAGCGGAGAAGACTAGAGAATTAGAAAATAACGCACAACTTGAAGAAGTCAAAGCGCTGTTGATAGAAAAAACGGCTGTAGCTGAACAGTTTAAGTCATCCAATGACACTCTTCATCAGCAAATTCAAACTCTAAGTTTTGAGTTGGAACACCTAAAGAACGAATTCCACAGTTTAGAAACGAATAGTAAGGAAATGATTACAGACTTGAAAGCTCAAATAGAAGAACAAGACGACGTGGATTTACTTATTCAAGATACAACTCAACAGAGATGCTCCAATGCGCGAGAACTAGTAGAATTATTCAAAGAAGTGAATTATAATCATTATAAAGAAAAGTTGGCGTACGAAGAAGCTGCTAAATCGCGCGAGGATAACGTGCAAGCATCTAGTGAATTAGAAAAAGAACTGAAGGATCAACAAGAACAGTATCACAATCTTCAAATAGCTACTTCGAAGATTATCCTCGAGTTGCAGTCGGAGCTGGAAGAAAGCAAACAAAAACTGGACCAAATACAGATTGAAAATAGTTCCAAATTAAACGAACTCACCCAAGAACTGGAAGAGTCGAAACGACGGTGCTCCGAGCTCCAATTCGAACAGGATATCAAGGTTTCCCAATCGCAAGACGTCGATGAAAAACTGCAGGAAATTGCGCGGATACAAAGTTCTTTAATAGAAAAAGATTCCAGTATTAAAGAGTTGAAGACGTTGATCGAAGAGTTGCAGAATCAGAAAGCTGGTTTAGAAGGGGAGATTAAAGATATGAAGGACGGTTTGAACGAAAAGCAAATTGAGCTGGATAAAATGGAGAATGAGCTTGTTGAAAACATTGCGAGGCTGGAGGAGAAATGGGCGGCGCAGGTTGATGAAAGAGGTGAGTTAATTTTTACTGCTCATAAATATGACGAAATAAGTATATTATTAATGGATTATTTCTTTTTTATTTAGAACAACAACCATCTTGTCTTGCTTACAATTTTTAGAGTTGTTGACTGTGACATAAGACATAAGTACACTGTAGCCAACCTACACTATTGTACAGTTTCCGTTATATAAAACTGGTACACTTTTTTTCTAATGTAAGCCTATGGAAAATTATCGAACTTAGTAGAGTAGATAAGGATGCGCTTCGCTCCACTTTGACCTTTGACCCCTCGCGCTCCAGGCACACCCCGCGATGACGTCATGAACGCTAGCCCGCGTCCCGTCATGGACCATACTAGGCCAATCGGTCATTTGGTAGGCGTCAATAGGTATAAAAAAAGTATTTATCAAAATTGTAACACCTGTGTCATGGTCAGAACGGGATATACGAAGCAACGTGTTGATATAACGTGTAAATACAAACCGCAGAGAATAACGCAAAAGCGAATAGTAATGTCAAGGTTGTCGATATGGGTATTGCAAACATATATTTTTATTTAAACTTGTGTGTTAAGGAAATGCCGCAAACTCAAAGTACGATAAAAAGAAACTATTATTAACAAGGTGGTTTTTAGTTGTAAAGAATTATGTTGTGAATCGAGTATTTAAAATATGAAAAATTACGAATGTATTTACAAATTAGTAAAGAGTACAGATATCACCGATGCAGAAAGCCGCAAAATATTATTTTTATTAAAATGCAAATAGCAGAAAAACACGTGAAATTGATAAAGTTGAAAGCAGGCTGCGATATCGACAAAACCGCAAACTGTTATCTAGGTGTAGAAGAACAGCGAAGACTTCATCGTTTCATTTTTAAATAATATTTTTCAAAGAAATGTGTGTTATGGATTATAGTGTAAAAAATCAGAAAAATGTGACAAAATGCAAAAATTTTGTGAAAAAATATGTAAATATATATTTATATGCCTGTAAGGACCTACCAAGAACAAGGATTAACAGAAGAAAACAGAGGTAAGTAATAAGAACTATTATTATTATTCAATGACTGGTGTCTAAAACAATTCAAAAACGTAAGGAAGGTAAAAGCGCTAGCATGTATTATGTAAAAAATGTAGACTTAATACACATGTACAAAATGGCGGTTGTACCGGCAAAATATTTCAAAACGTGGTAAAATAATTAAGAGATTAAAACAGTTTTACTTTTGCTTACAGAGTATACCAAAGGGATAAAATCAAAAAAAAAGTTCTAAATTGTTAAAAACTAAGGCGTAAAGGGAGACAGGAATAGACGAAGTATACAGATACTAAGGTAAGATATTGTTATTTTGCATTAAGTATGCCTAGTTTTTTAACAAATACCGTAAATGTGCCTGGTTTTTATCAAGTATGTAAATAAAATGTCTACGAAGGTTTTTTGTGCAAAATGCCCAATACGCAGATGTCCCAAATGTCTAATGAGCATGAGCAACAATGTCACTCTATTTGCTTAATAAAAAACGTTTTTAAATGTAAAAGAAAGAATACATGAGTACCCAGAAAAATATTACACAGTACAAGCATTGTACAAATTATGTAAACTTATAATTTTAGATGAGAAGCCGAGCATGAAGCATCAGTGCCCTCTGTAATTAATATTTGGAAATCAACAACAACAATTGACAACGTTAGACGCTGAATAACTAGGGGTAAGCAAATGATTGTAAATTTTCTGCTTAAAGAAAAGAATATAAAAATGTGTAAAATTTTATTGTTTTTATTTTTATTTATTTATAAGTATCAGAAGTCATAAGTTTGTGCAATATGCGGACAAAATAATAAATTTATCGTTTTCACCGGTTAGATAACAATTTCCTGTTGTTTGTTTGAGAATTGACGATCTTCTAATAGTATTGTTTTTACATTAAGAGTAAAGAGAGAGATGATAAGACAAAAAATATATTGATTTTTAACAGATGTGTTTGTTATTTATTCAGAAAAAAAATACAATATTTCATTAATCAAAAGCATGTCTTATTTAAAAATTTTCACCTCTTTCCATGGCCCTACCCAAAGGGGACAATACTTCAGCATTAAATGACATACTCGTAGATATATCAGATAATATTGAAGTATTGGAGGTGTTTTAGGCCTCGTTAAGATTCCCCGCCATATGTCTCAATATACAGAGCATAGAAAGACATAAGACAGGCCTACGTCGTAAGTATTTTTGTTACCATTCACGCTTTGTTTATTTAGAAATTACATATAAACAGTGTATGGCTCATTAAATATCTTTTAGTGATCTGTTGAGTATCTTTTGTATCAGGAGGCTGCACGAACACTAGATCTTAACTTAATAAGAACGGTTCATTAATTTGCCAGTGACTCATAACAGATATCTTTTGGTGATTTAACTGAGCATCTTTTAAGATTTTTTATTATGCAGAGGTTTGGTCAGACCTTAGTTCAATGGCTACTACTTTGGGGTAGTCTACCGCTGACTAAATGTACTGGCTCTTGGGAAGGTTATCAAGGATTAAAGCGAAAAGGATTTGTACACTTAAATATGTAGATATTCTTCGTAAACAAAGCGTGGGAAGGAAATGTAAATACAGACTATGCAAAAGTACAGTAGCTCTGAAATATTTTTTTAAAATGGTAAATAATGCAGAATTTTTTAACATTGAAAATAAGATAACATTCTGAAATTTTGAATATTGTCGATGTTTTTAAATTGAATGATAATTTTCAAAGCAATTCATTTTACATAAATAGTAATTAGCGAGGCATTTTTAAGATTTGAATGTCGAATTTTGTATCTTTAAGCTGTATGTAAGCATTGGAACTGGTTACATTTTCAATTTGTTCTAACATTTTTGCCATATTGACATCTGCACTAGTGGCTGTCGAAATAGGATGATTGAAATTGTCATTTAACGCCACAATACGGATTCTGTCACCCTTTTTGTAGCCAATTTGCTTTTTTATATCGTTAAGAGCAGAATCTAATTTCTTTTTCAAAGAGTCTTGATTAAGACCACCACCTACATAGTTTTCACAGCATAGTTGAAAAGTGCACTGATGAGCATTAAATTTTTTAATTTCTCGCTGGTTTATAACATTTACAGACCACATTTTGATACGTGTGTACTCTATGAGTGTTCAACTGTGAATGAAGAGATTTCGCAGTGTGAGATAAATATATCTACGAGGCCTTGAAACCTAGAGGCAATGTATCCATACACTCATCATTATGTACAATTTTTCGCTTTTTGTAGTCCATCTTGAATGTCTTCGACACCCTTTTTTTCGTCACTATGTCTTTAGTGTGGACATCGCGGCATATCTGGTCATACTGTAAGGTGATTTTTTTGGAGGGATCGTGTATGATATCATTCATCGCTGAGGTATTGAGTACTAGGCTATTCTCGTAGTTTAGAGTAAAGCCTTTGATTTTAGTTACCTCTTTGCCCTTGGCTGTTTTGTAGTAATAACTTTTTGGGCCAGTTGCCTGCCATTCTACAATATAATCATCTGACCCAAGCTCATCGCTCCAATCGCCTAACATTTCACCTGTTTCGACAGTGTTTAGGCCATTATCAATATAAACAACGGAGTCTGTGTCGAAATAAGCTACCGCCTCTCCTAGCCTATCAAGCATATCGTACAGTCTTAGACGAGCGTTACTTGTCGTAAATAAAGCCACAAAAATATTTGTAGATGTGGGGTCTTCCACAAACACATCCTTGTAATCATATGAGACTTGGGCTATATGGTCGTTAATAAAGATCACATTAGTCATGTTGATCTTATCATCCATCAAGAGCTCAAACCATCTTTTGAGGTCCACAACATACTCTGTCTGTTTCATATTCATTCTTTGTCCAAACTTGCCCCATAGACTATTCAAGCATAGTTTAGCGACTTCTCGTTTACCACGATTTGGAGATATTTTCTCTAAGTCTAAGTCTATGCCCATTTGTTCTTTTACAACCCGAGCGTATTCTTCGTTTGAGGCATATGTATGTGGACTAGTTTCTAATTTTATTTTCATAAAATCTTCTACATAGCCCTTAAATAAATCCGTAGAAGTCTGCTCAAAATTCCACACCTCGTACACTTCCAACATTTTATACCCCTTTTCTATGGCTTTATTGATCTCTAGAGTCGTCCACGTACCTTTTAATGCCCGTTCTGAGTCATCATGATCACAATTATCGCAGTCTTCCAAGGTGCATTGATTACACAACGGAAACATTAATTTGTCAGTTTTGACAGGTAGGACTGGGTGATATAAGTTGGTAGGTGGCAGTATTTGACAATGTACTAGGCCAAACCACGAGGGGTCGTATGATTCAGGCGCATGTATTTTAGCAGGGTGGCCAATGGGGTAGCGGTCATAATACTGTACCGTCGGGTAAAGCGATACAATATCTATATATCTAAGCTTTTTCCCAGTCACATTTAGCTTTATGGCGTTTGTTCGTCCTCCAAAGAATGCTTCACGAGGCTTTAAGGGTTCAACAATTTGAGGGATCGGTGTATTTTTACATTCTTTTGATTTTAACCATTCACATTCCCACATTTCTACTAGTTTGTAACCAGCTTCTTTTATTTGTGTGGCTCTCCTCAGTGTTCTTTCGTACAAGTCGCTCATTGTTTCGTTATTAATGTGGTTAATTGTGTTGGGCGCAAAACACTCTGGGTGGCCATGCCAGAAACAACCGTGGTACTGGTACACGGTATTGGTACAGGCATCATAACCATCCACTTTTGCACCGCAGATCGTAATTTCGCCACCATTAAGAGCATGTTGTACTTCTGGAAACTGACTCAGCCATTTTAACGATGCCAGGCTATATGTTTCCTTTATGTCCTGTTTTACAACCCCTATAGTATTTGGTTGCAGATATTTGACCCTATATATAGCCATACAAACACTGGCAATGGTCAGATATTGAAAGGGATCGATATTTGCAATTTCTAAAAATTCTTTACGAAACTC